AGTTTTTAATAAACAGCTAGGAAAGGTTGAAAGAGTTACAGTGGATGCTAGGCATCCAGAAGTGCACGGAACATGACAATAATTCATGTAGTTAATAAATATATTTGTAACACTACTTGTTTGTTTGTTTGAATTTATGCACAAAGCTACACAATGGGCTATCTGTGGTTTCTAGCGTTGTAAGTCCGTAGACATACCGCTGTGCCACTGGGGAGCGTAACACTACTTTTAGAGTAGCTGAAGATGGAAGAGGTGTATTCCGAAACGTCCGAACCTTGTAAATATAATGTTTTGTGTTTCGTCAACAGTCTTCATCTTTATTATTAGACTTCGTTTTCTCCATCACGAAGCCATTGCAGGTACAATTCTTGAACTTTTGACGAATATTTTCATCTATAACATTAAATAATCAAATGTTATTATTATTTTTTTCTCGAAATTCCGACTTTTATGAACCTTATTAAATTACTTTCTATATATACATTTTCCAAACGAATTCAGTAGGTTATAAAAGCTTTCTTTTTCTCTGTTTTATAAGACTGTTAATTATTTGTAGAAGTAACCTTTCGTTCTATGTGACCAAACTTTACATGTTTTAATAACGATCTTCAGTGATTAGTTAGATATACACTGTACTAAGTATTTGTTTTGTTGAAACACGATCTATCGTTGGGCGGATTCTTTTGGTAAAAAAATACAAATTTTAGTCCACGTAAAGACAATGAAATAATTTACTTCATCCATACATGAATAAAAGTTGTTACAGGCCATGGTTATTTGTAGGCATAACTTCAAAAATCATGGTTCAAATAACGTTTAAAAGAACTTCTGAAAACTGACAACTTAATTATATATTTTAGTCATATTTATGATAACACCCGCTGTCTACCAAGCTGGCACTCGACTATTCAATTATTGATTACTCTTTAACATCTCATTCATTGATTCTCGTAGTTATAATTTACTTTATTTCTACATATTAAACGAAACTTTTAGATCCTTAACTTAACTTGCAATAATTTGTTTGTTTGTTGTTAAGCGCAAATTTTCACAGTGGGGTAAAGTGAAAAATATATTCAAGATTTGTTATAGTTTTTAAGAGACTTTGTGTAGCAAATAATTCTTTGCTGTTGTAGTATATATAGTTATTATAAAACAATTTCTTGCTTACTCAAGTCACCACGATAATAAAAGAGTATTTAACAAAAATCATCTTTCAACGTTTGCTGTAGGTAGTAATACAAAGGTAGTTTTTTTATATTTACTTGTGAGGACATTATTCTCAAGATTTCATTATGTTCTTATTGTACTTTTTCAGACAAATTTCTTTTAAACTTTGGTATAGAGTAATTGATCAGTTTACAGAATAATCAATAAAAAATGTTATAGGCTAACAAAACATTTCATTCTTCAAAAAACAATCAGAGCACACCTGCAGACCTTTCTCCAGAGCTTTTTTTTTTGGAAATAGTTTAATTTTAAATTATATTAACCTCCATATAATAATTTTTTGAATATCACTCTTTTTTTCTTCTCCGATTTAACAATTTTGAATACAGTTTCTTTATTGGAATAATAGTCTAATTATACTTTTCTTAAATATGTTCATTGAAGTTAAAAACAAAAAGGAACTAAGTCGCCATCTATTATCATAATTTCAAATGACAATAAACAACCAATAACACCAAATAGTCAGTTTTCAAGATAACTGCAACCGAATTTCATTAGTTAGTTTTGTTGTTTTTTTGGTCAAGAGATGAATATAAATGCTGATCCGATTTCATAAAACAAGTTAGTTTTCTGTGTAATGGACGACATTAAAAACAAAAAATAAGTTATTTGGAAGTTAAATAATCGGCACTACGCCAAATCTTTGTAATGATATTTTGCATTTATTTAAAAATACCTTTGATTAACACTAATATACTGACCTACTTTTAACTCCATGGAATTATTTTGTATTTATTTCAAATATACTTTAAATATTTAAAATACTTTTAAGAAATACTATTATTCAGACCTGATTTTAGCTTGTAACCATTTATCCCATAATATATTAACAAAATAATAAATATTTATTTTATTACGACTTTTATTCAGAATTAGTTTTAAGTTGCAGTGCGTACTTAGTGTACAGCGTCATCTATTTAAATTGGAATCAAATTTAAAACTGTATTACATACCAAGGAATTAGTACAGTAACGATAATTGTCCCGATTTTACAATTCGTATTTTATTTTGCGCGATTTTCTAGTTTTCTTGTATTTGTATTAAAATTTTATTTCTTTGTGATATTCCATGAGGTACTCTTTGTAACTAAACATATGTAAAATCTATACTTGTCTATAGAATATTTCAACAAAACAACCAAACTTCTGTCAATGATAATACCACATAAAGTGTTATTGTTGTAAATGTTAAACTTGTATTTGTTTACAGAATGTTTCAACTGAATGCTTGTAACACAACAACCAAACATATGTCAATGATAATACCACTAACATCTTTTAAATCATACACAAATACAGTGGTTCCCAACCTTTTGTACCCATCGCACCCGCTAAGTAACCCCTCGTACCTCTCCCCTAAAACTGTGTATTAGACATTTCCTTTGGGCGGAAAACGGGCCTTGTATAGGCCTCTTTCGCGACCACCTCATTTCGCACCCTTGGCTGGGAAACCCTGCACTTATGGAAGAAGACACTTCATAGCCCAAGTTTTCTGCTTCACAACAAACAAAACAAAATGTTCTAGTCTTACACTGCTACATTAGGGACGGCTAGCGCAAATAGCCCTCGTGTAGCTTTGCGCGAAATTCAAAACAAACAATCATTATTTATAAATTCAGAAAAAAGGTACATTTTGTAATGAACGAATTGTCTAAATACATTATCATCATATTTCAAATATTTAAAAAGCATATTTTCACCTAAAAATTGTCCATAAATAGCTTCTACGGTCCACAAGCTGATTGACATAACTAGAGAAATTCCATCTGTAAAAATCAGTGAGATTAAAATCTTTAACCATTTAAAACTGAGCATCTATGAAATCGTGTTTAAATATAACTTAAAACGACAGAATAAATAAATTATTAAAAGAGGAACCAGCGCTAAAATAACTACATGTTCCTGTGTTCTTCTTCAGGAATAATAATATCGAAACATGAAGAGTTATGTTAGGGCTGATGCCTCTGTGTATAAATTATTTATTGTGCGATTATTTGAGAACATACATTCAGAAAGTTAACAGTTTAAGATCTCATTATTTATATTGGCCAGGAGGTTAGGGCGCTCTACTCGCAATCTGCGGGTCGCGGGTTCGAATCCCTGTCACACCCAAATATGCTCGTCCTTTCAACCGTGGGGGCGTTATAATGTGACGGTGAATCCCACTATTCGTTGGTAAAAGAGTAGCCCAAGAGTTGGCGGTGGGTGGTGATGACTAGCTGCCTTCCCTAGAATTTGTGTATTATGACAATAAGCTTGAACAAGTCCATCATACAGGGATGGGACCAATACTGCAGTCATTGAATTTTCCCAACAAACAACATCGTAAACCTCCTGTGGTAGACATTTCTCACCATTGATCCTATTGCCAGGTGGCTTAAAGCATGACTTCTCAATAAACCTCCCATGGAAGACATTTCTTACCACTGATCCTATTGCCAGGTGGCTTAAAGCATGACTTCTCACTAAACCTCCCATGGAAGACATTTCTTACCACTGATCCTACTGCTAGGTGGCTTAAAGCATGACTTCTCACTAAACCTCCCATGGAAGACATTTCTTACCACTGAGCCTACTGCCAGGTGGCTTAAAGCATGACTTCTCACTAAACCTCCCATGAAAGACATTTCTTACCACTGATCCTACTGCCAGGTGGCTTAAAGCATGACTTCTCACTAAACCTCCCATGAAAGACATTTCTTACCACTGATCCCTACTGCCAGGTGGCTTAAAGCATGACTTCTCACTAAACCTCCCATGAAAGACATTTCTTACTCCTGATCCTACTGCTAGGTGGCTTAAAGCATGAATTCTCACTAAACCTCCTGTGGAAGACATTTCTTACCATTGATCCTACTGCCAGGTGGCTTAAAGCATGACTTCTCACTAAACCTCCCATGGAAGACATTTCTTACTCCTGATCCTACTGCTAGGTGGCTTAAAGCATGACTTCTCATTAAACCTCTCATGGAAGACATTTCTTACCATTGATCCTACTGCCAGGTGGCTCAAAGCATGAGTTCTCACTAAACCTCCCATGAAAGACATTTCTTACCAATGATCCTACTGCCAGGTGGCTTAACGCATGATTTCTCACTAAACCTCCCATGAAAGACATTTCTTACCACTGATCCTACTGCCAGGTGGCTCAAAGCATGACTTCTCACTAAACCTCCCGTGGAAGACATTTCTTACCACTGATCCTACTGCCAGGTGGCTTAAAGCATGACTTCTCACTAAACCTCCCATGGAAGACATTTCTTACTCCTTATCCTACTCAAATCACAGCTTTCAATTGGTCACAGTATGGTATTTCTTAACTACTGTAAGTTAAGGTGCATAAAGTGATGATCAAATCATGAGTGTCATGTACAGTTAGAATGCTGGTCAAACCCTGTCAGAAAGCTGGACAACATGACATATCCAGTCAGAAATCAAAACAACATGCTATAATATCTAGTCTCAAAATGACATAATATCTCACCAATGAGTCTTTTAAAAATAAGTGTAAAAGTGAAATATACTCAGATTTAATTTGTTTTTGATTTCATATGAACTTCAACTCTGGATTTTGAATTGCAGATAAGACTTCTTCATGCTGTGTAATTCTAATATATTTTAAAATTACAGTTACATTTTAGAATTAAAATCAACTTTAAAACTGAGTGTTTCACTAAATCAATTTAAAATCCTCAGAAAATTGTAATATGTAATTTTTTGTTGCACTGTTAATAACGTTAAAAGTTCCATACACTTAATATCATGAAAAACAAATTAAACTTTATTTGTCCTATTTCCAAAAGACAGCCTGCACACAAGTTAGAAATATAAGTTATACAAAGTTTTATAAAGTTGGTTTTCAACACTCGAGCAATTAAGCAAACTAAAGGCATATATAAAACATCAGACTGAAAACATTCTCTGTAAGGCTTACAAACATCTTTTTCTACACATACAACTCATCAGGAATGAAGTTTCAGCTTAATCTATGCATTAAGAGCACCAGTTGTTTTACTCACTTCAATAAGAGTGTATTAATAATTTATTAACCTTTCAGTATGACATGTCAGTCCGTTTTGATACAAAACAAAAACAAATTAGAATAACTTCTAAGTGATTAATGTATATTATTATAAAGAAAATACTTTAATACATTTATGTGAACTCATAAATTGAATATGTGCATTTGGTAATATTATTCATCTATAACATGAAGTGAAACAAATACCTTACTACTACTTAACAAATTATATCTATTTAATATTCAATAACTTAGCTGAATTACCCGATGTTTTAAGTAATAAGTAAGGTTTCAAACTTGTACAGTAGCTGCCAAGGTGATTAGGTGCCAGAATTCAGGAAAAACTTCCAGTGCTTCTACAAGTAATTACTTCTTACTACATGTTAACCTATAACTCATCTGTTCTTTACTTATAAAAATATGAATAAAAATTAACATATGAAAGTGCACAGTGAGGTAATTTACTGTACTTTTAATACAGTATAGTGAGGTCCATGAGAATATTTCCTTATAACAATAATACAATTCTTCCATATTAATTAATAACCTTTAATTAAAGACACTTAACTAAAAACTAATTTATAAATTGATGGAACCAATTCTATAAAACAAACTGACAAAAAGTACACATGTCATAAAACAATGGACAATAAAAAACAAATTTACAGTTATTAAAATAAACTGTACACTGCTTATTCATTTCTTATAATTAAGTAATAACACACAAATAATAAGCACTAGTAGGGAATTAAATTCCAACTAAAACAGCAATTCAGACATGTGACATTAGAAACTGTGGATCTTTGCAATTTTACCCATTATACTTGTTTTTATGAGGAAAATACGATTTAATAATACAAAAAAAAGATAGCGACAGTAGCTTAACACTAAGTGTGAACAAATTAATTACTACACTTCACAGAAGAACAGATTTTTTTCTTACATATGCTTGATAACTTAGAAGTTGCCATTCTGAGGAATTAAAAATTTCTAGAGATGTTTACCAGGAATCTAAACAACAAACAAAATGACCAAACAGTTTTAATGCACGAGCCTCGATCAGGTTTAGATCTTTTCTGATACTTACCTTCTCATAGTACTAATCACTTCTGGGACAAGTTCATTCTTATTTTTTAAATAAGGGTCTGTAACCAAGAAAGAACATTTCCACTGGAATTCAGCAGCCAATGTTTCATAGAACACTTCATAATGTTAAAGAACTCTTATACAAATTTATTCCTGAAAATCTCACCAACATTTTTACAATATATAAAACACTGTCACAACAATGACTATTAACCTATTGCATAAAGTTCCAATATGGAACAAAAGAACCCTTCCAATATGGAACAAAAGAACCCTTTACATCATGGTTTTAGAACCCAAGGTTTGACAGCAAATCAACTTGTCATATGGTTCTAAAAACAATAGGTATTTGTTACAAATTATCAAACACTGCAGATATGTACAGAATTACCAAACATTGGGTATTTTTACAAAACTATCATGGGCATTTGTATCAAATTACTAATTATTGAGGATCTGTACCAAATTATCAAGCTCTTTGGATCTGTACTAAGTTATCAAGTACTGGAGATATGTACTAAAATATAAAACACTGTGGATTTATGCCAAATTATCAAGCACTGGGGATTTAGTATTATATATTTACTGACTCTCTATCAGAAAAATACAATCTTTGCATCATTATAAACACAGTAAATTAAAACATTTGTAATGGTAGACCACTTTGTACTGTTTGTTATTGTGTATTTACTTTCTGTTGGTGAAAAAAATACAATTTTTACATTATTTTAAACACACAAAACACTGGAATGAAATGATTTCAGTTAAATAAAAAAGAATTTACCGAAACCTGAGATTCCAGAAGTTGTTAACCCTTTCAGTTTATTCCAAAGAAAATCATATGCTCTAAAATTTCTAATTCTTCAGTTTTTAAACAAATGATCATTTTACAACTTTCCCATCACTGTCCCAAAAGGTTCATGATTAATCATCCCAAATTTTTAAGAAAAACAGAAAACTAACAATACAAACACTGAGTACAGTTTTTGGTCTCCGTATCTAAAAAAGGAGATTAACTTACTGGAAATCATTTAAAAGGAGCAGTACAAGGATGGGTGTCTTACAGAAATAGCTTAAGATCTCTTATTTTCATTTGAGGCTGACAAGCCTATTCGAGGGCTAAATAGGACAAAAGTCTCCATGTTCCTTGTTCTGAAGAGAACAGAACAAAAGTACATGTTTTGGGAAAGGCTAGGCTCCAGTTAGGATCATTTATTTAACACAGTTATTGTCTATGTAACGAGCTGCTGTCAACAACAGTGAAGACCAATACTCTACATGAATTTAAGATGATTTCCTGGCCTTAACTTTTAGTCTTTTTGAAAAGGAGCATGTGCAGTGACAGAACAACCAAATGATCACTTGCTGTCTGTAATGTTATATTCATTTCTTTAAATATACTCTATGGTAGTTCCATTACGTGTGAAACAAGTTCCAGAGTAAATATTTTTAAACTGATGATGTAAGAGTATGATGGTTGAACCAAATTCCTCAAAACTTGCTTTTTTGTTAGCAATTTGGACACTACAATAGATCAGGAAGAACTTCAGTACATTCATCGAGTTAGTTAAATTTTCTATAATACAGATATCAAATTAGTTACATACAAACTGAAAGGGTTACAACAAAAAATAATTTCAGGCTGTGAGCCTGTTTTTATTAAAATAGGCTCAGCCAAATGACCTTCCTTACAGTAGATTTTAACCATTGTAGATCAACATTAAAACAAATATGCAAAAAATATAATATGTGTAGCATGTTATTAATTAATAACCCTCTGGCCACCCAAAACTTCTACCAACTGCCCGATAGAATTCTTTATTATATGGAACATAAAATCTTCGTAACCTGGATAAAAGACGAGGTGAGATCTCGGGGTGTTTTCTTCCTTTACTTTCATTCAAACATTTGTTTAAGGTATTATTTTGAACACAAAAAAAACCTTTGGTCTTATTGTAATAGAAGTTCTCTCTTTTGATGCGATGTTTAAGGCCTAGAAAATCTTCAATCTGCTGCAACTCTATAAATGGGTCACGTATTAACTGGTCTCCATTTACAACCAGAATCTGATGACGGCTAAAGACTTTTAACCACTTTTTTAAATATATGGAATACATACTGATTTTCACAGCTCTGTAGTTCACATTGACTTGACCATCTCGGTTTAAGACCAACTCTTTAAAAGATGGTAGAATTTTCCCTTTCTTAGCCTTGTTAGCTGCAAGTTGTGAGTAATCAGAGATCAAGCGTGTTACTGGATCCCTAACAATGAGAAGCAATTTGATGGAACTGTTCATTTCATGAATGCGTTCTGGAACTTTATCGGTGATAAAATATGATGGACTTTTTTCAATAGTGATTTGCTCAGGAAAGGAGAAAGGCATTTGTCTTCGGTACCACTCCAGGCCTAAGGAATGTTTAGCATCATTATCAAAGAAATGCACCTCAACAGAGGACTTCTGAACCATAGGGTGAACATTCAGAAATTCTAGAAGAGCTCGAGTACCTCCTTTACGTACACCGATGATAATAACCTGTGGTAGCCGTCGCTTGGTGCGGGTAAATTGAACTCTCTGTTTCAAAATGTCCAAGTTTATGGACTCTTCATCATGGTAATTATCCAATCTTAGTTTTGTGTCTTCTAAAATCTCCCGACGTGAGTAATGAACTACCATGCAGAAGGAGAAGGTAGAGAGGAACACAAGAACTGCAAAAAAGTGACTTTTGGTGAGATTCCAAGTACCTGCATTCTTAGATGATGGATGACAGTCATCCACAGACACCAAGTTATTTGTTGAAAGAGATGAACTTCCTGTCTCCTTCTTAACTGACATACTGAATTCAACCCATCTGTAAATAGACCAGAATCTTAAGTAATACTACTGACACATTTTAATTCACAAAAAATATGAATAATAAAATTTCTTAACTGGTAAATACAATACTTACAAGGCAATGTTATTATCCTTTAATAAGATATTAATACTTCCTTCTCTGCTCCACAAAAGAATACTGACCTGTATTCAACTAATGTCAAAATTATCTTAGTTTGATGAATTTATGAATCTCCAGTTAAGATTAAAAAAAATTTACATAGTTACAACTTTGAAACATTTACACATTATTCTCTAATTGTGAAATTAAACTAAAAACAAATTAAAATATTACTTTGGAGAAGAAAGGAGTTTTGAATTGTACTATCAAGGCCCACTATGCACTATCTAACTTAAGTTCAAACTGTCTACTTTAAATTATTTGTTCCATAACAAGCCTAATACTGTTTAAGTTTTCAGGCTAAAATTATAATTTTCCTACACTGAAAGTGTATTTCCGATAGGTAGTTACCTAGCTATTTCTGTTCAGTGCTGCCCTCTATCTGCAACTTTTTTATGCATTCCACAAGTATTCTATCTCAACTCAATTGGAACTGACTGATTCCAATGCGTCTTTCATGCAAATCATCATGTGTCAACCCTTCACCAATAAAAGTGCAACATACTCTCATGATGCATGTGGCTCCCTCTATTCAATTCTATTGAACTAAAACTTCGAATTTTGGCAGAAGATCGAAGCAACGGTTTTCAGTGGGGAGGAAGAATGAGAGGAGATAAGTACCTATCAGAAATGCATTTTCAGTGTAGGAAAATTATAACTTCCAATAAGGTACATTTCCTCAGCTCATATTAATAACTAGAATTCCACACTGAATAGTCAGAGGGACCAGTGTGAGGGAAAGAAAGAAGCATCCACCAAAAGCATCCAAATGACATTCCCTAAGATGAGACAGTCAGATTCTAAGATTTGATGTGGGGAACCGCAACACTCCTGAAACAGGTATACTCTTTGCACATGTTATATGGGCAGAAAATAGAGAAGCATTTCTAATTGGGAGAGAACTATGGCTGGAAAGTGATCCAAACCATGCAATATTTATGAAACTCAATCCCAGAAATTATAAAAGTGGGTAAAATAAAAAGGATGTGTCCCTAAGCATAGAGGGGCTAGGGCGCGATGGACCGTACATGGCAAGTCAACTACATCCAAAACCAATGCTGCTGGGAAACCAACATCCATGTGGGGGTGGGAAAGAGGATCATAATGGTAGCAAGTCAACTACAATCCAAAACCAGCCATCTGGTGGGGGTGGGAAAGAGGATCATACAGTCTTCATTTCTAGTTCATGAGACTGGAGGGAACCTAGCACATGTGACTATGATAAGTTGACAAATCGATCCAGGAACCCAACATCCGGTATCAAAAAAATGTCTACATAACATAAACCATCTCCCTCAAAAGTGAAATTGACCGAAAGTGCATAAACATCCTTAGAATAAGAAACCGATAATGGAAGGGAAATCTGCAATTACCTCAACCATGACCCACAACAGTGATGGAGTATAACTGAGGGAGGAATATAGACATGTGTGAAGACTTACACTGATTAGTTCTACTCTAAATCTAAAACCCAGCCACTGGGAACAGACATCCATGTGGGGATAGGACGAGGTACCCCAATCGAAGGGGTGAACTGCAATTTTGATGTCTCACTCCCATTCATTTTATGTTTCATAGTGGATTATATCATGTCATCTACACCAGCAGAACACCACCACCCTACTCTCAATTGAATGGTTTTGTAATCATTTCTATATTTTGTTTGTATTTCATTAACCCATTCCAGCAGCTTGGAATGAATTGGAAAGTGGTAAGGACTCTCAAACTCAACTAAAAGAAAAGGGGGGATAAAACGCAGTAGAGTCCAGAGGAACGACAACACCTGAGACAGGGCAATGGGTGACCATGAAACCCTATTTTCAAAAGCATTTATTCAATGCATTGCAGGGATGGGCAAACTTATGAAGCAATTCTATTGCAAGGATAAACCTACAAGCAATTTTGTGGAACACCCCATCTCTGGCTTGACAGTGCAGATTTGAACAGTTAAGTAAAACCTTGTCAGGCACCACTCGCCACAGAGTGGGATCCAAATAAATACCTCCAAAGGACAATGAAAATGAAACACCAATGAAAAGGTAAGAAGTTAAGTTGGTTAAGAAGACACTCAGAAGAAAGTACAGGATGGAGACGATAAAGAGGAAGAAGCCAATTGAATGAAGAGCCAAACTCAGTTGACCAAGGAGGAAGGAGAAAGAACACTAAAAGAGGATGGTTGCCAAGGGAGAAAGAGGAGTGAATGGACACTAAAGAAGGAAGCCATGAAGGCAATATATAAGAGAGAAGAGCACGTACAGGATATAGAAGTCTATCCCCATCAGGATAAGGAAAAGGTGTGAAACAGAAGGAAGGGAAAGTGGCTAAACAGATGAGTTATCCTCACGAGCCACCAAAGTGTGAGGGAAGAAAAACGATCTGAAGAAAATAGAAGATATGGAGAAGGATAAAGAATACGAGAAACATCAATGGTGAATAAACAGACCACTGACATCCACAGGCAAACAGAAGAAGGAAGATGTAAGGGAAGATGACACAAAGAGCACTGGGATAGTGGTTCAAATATAGGAATGTGAGGCAATGCAGGACCACATTAATATCTCCATCCAGAAGGGCAGTCCACTGCAGTGGATGACAAATCCAGAAAGAACACATCCTCAGGTAAAGTGTACAAGAAGAAAATATCTGTGGGATTGGGAAAAAAAAGGTGTGGGACAGGATTGCTCGTAAATCTGAGACTGTGGAGACAGAAGACCCTTGATCCAAAAGTCAAGAGAGGAAATCTGCATGATGAAGAACAGTGGGTTGATCAGGGGAACCCTGGACCCAGAACAAAATGATGGACAGTTCATTTGCATTGAGATACTTTCATGTAGGAAGTGCAAATGAAACAAGCCAGAAAAGAGACAAACAATTAGCAGAAGCCAGAGGGCAGGAAGGTCTGGATGAAACACCGATGACTGAGGGTGATGAAGAAGGGACGGAGACAGAGGAAAAGGTATCAGAGGAGGAAGTTGGAGAAGCTACTGAAACAGCCAGGAAAGAGCTTTTAGAATGACTGAACACAGAGTGTCAAGGATGAACAAAATCACCCAGAAAAGAAGGAGAATGGGAGGATAGACAAATGTGTAGGTTCAATCCTGGCTGAAAAAATTGATAGCAAGAGCAAGAAGACAAGGAACCAGTGGCCAAAACCAAGGCAATTTGTGGTTAAGGGATACAGCAAAAGCCTCAATGTGAGGAGTACCCCACAGAAATCAGATCCACTTGATAAGAAAAAGATCGAGAGACCACTCCATCAGATAAATGTTGTCTGGACAGGAATCCAATCCATGTCAAGAGCAAAAGCACCTAGAACAGGACATGCAATGAAAGAAATATTGAGTGTGTGGGCCCAAAAACAAGATCCAACATGCGAGTACAGAGGGATGGAGAACAGGTGTTGCCCTGGTGACTGAGATAAGCAACCAATGAAGAAAAGTCAGATTGGATCATTACTAGATGTTTTCTGGCCAGATGGAGAAACAGAACTAAAACACGATCTACAGCAAGAAGCTCCAGAATATTGATAGTATAAGACCTCTCGGCTGCAGACCAAAAACCTCAAATCTTCCAGTTGATCAACCTACACCCCTCATCCCTGAAATGTGGAAAACCGAATGAGGAGGAGGAACCAGGATACCGGCCGATGTGTGAGTCATATCTAACCACCGATGCTGATCAACAACAAGGGTAGGAGGAAAGGTAATAAGAGCCAACAAAGGGTCCCTACTGGACATAAAAAGCCCATGAAAGAG